CTAAGATTCTTAGCAACACAACAAAGTGAATACATTTTATATTGCTTGTAACATTATTCAATTGTTAATTCTTTCATGCAACGGCTACATGTCAACGGAACATACAGTGCATTCTTTCGGAATAAAATAAGATGTATTTAGTTTTGGGTAATAATGCTAAAAATTTTGAGAGGCAAGAGAAATGGTGGATTTCTAGCTAAGATCAAACCATGTTAGGTCTAGGTCAAATCCATGACAGAAATTGAGTTAAATGTGCCTTATTTTAATTTGCTAGTGAATTAAGGCCCTATTTGAGCCCCATAAATTTGAAAATTTGTATTATAGAATAGTGATCAACGAAGAATGTGTAGTTTAAAAAGAAAGAATTTTTTTGATTTGCGTGTAATATTATTTTAATTAAAAATGTGATTAAAAATGAGTATCATAGAAAAAAAATGAGAATGACTGTAAAGTAAAGGATGACAAACATTGGCTAAATATTTTACTTTTCTAATTAGATACTTAGATTTCCAACAAGGTGGAATCTTTTATTTAATTTTGTTATATCATAATACATTCACATTGCATCATAAACATGGCAATTAAAAGTAGAAATATTATATAAAATCTCTCATATGTGAACTGCTGAGAGTTTTAGCTGGCTTTAAGATTACAGCGAGATTTGTCACAGCTTTCAAAGTAGTAAGTTCTTATTCTTGAAAATTCTTAACGCTTGAAAGTACATAAAATTCAGAAAAAGTAGAGATCCATCTTCAGAATTTCATGTTGCAATAGAAGAACGAAGCCGACTAATTGTTTCGAAAGAGTTCTCCACATATTAACTGCAGGAACAGCATACATAGTAAATATAACCAGTTAATAATATGTTTTTGAAGGGAGCATAAGAGCTAAACTCCGATCAAATGAAAGAATCTTAGGTATTATGTTACATTATCTTTATATATATTGTTATTGAAATATGGATTATCCTTAATGAATTGACTTCAATGGATTTCATGGAATTTTTCATCATAAGCAAGTGAGGCCAAATGCTTGTTAAAGCTTGCATTAGTATCATAGTACAGTACCTTTGATAAGGGAGCTGTCGTCACGATCCTAACGAGAGTATTGCGGATTAGGATCCATGAGGTTAACAGGGAGGAAATTCTGAACATCATAAGATTGTGAAGTCATAGGCCGGTATTCAGATGCTGGCATCATGTTCAATTGCTGTTGTGCTCTCTCAGTCTCAGCTATCTGCACCATATATTTAGCCTTTCTTTAGTTTTTTTCTTTTTTGGTGGGGGCGCATAGAGAAATAGAGTTAAATCACGTACCTTTGCTCGTAGATACATGTTAGCATTTTGCAGCTCTAACTCCTGGTATGTCAAGTCACCATTGAAATCAGATTTTAGCATCAAATATTAATTTTGCAGCAAATTAATTAGCCATCCACATAGGAATCAATAGAGTTTTCCGAAAAAACCTGCCAGTGGAGGAAGACCTCCTTGGGATAAGAGACATAGGGCTTGTTTGAGCCCCATTGTTTAAAAACTCATTTTTCACAACACATTCTCTCAATAGAAAATTTTTACACGTAAATTCAAAATTTTTACCTAATATTAACCATACATCCTTCAAAAAAATAATATTAATAAACTCATTTTTTACCAAAAAAAAAAAAATGGAGCTAAGACAAAAGGTTAATACATTGCATAAAATAGATTCCCTTGTGGATCAAAGAAAGAAAAAGGTGCAATTAGATTGTGCTTATTGAGATAAAATTTCAGAAATACAATGTTATTAGGAACAAGACAATTTCAAACACCATCTAAGGCAGGGCTTTTACATTCAAAAAACGTTGCTGTATCCTTCTACTATACGGTAACATCGAGATTTACAACACATGTCCGAACGTTGCAAGAGACTTTCGACAACGTTTTTTGAATGTTGGAAAAGCTTCTTTTTTTTTTTTGGCAGTTCACTCTAGCCCCCTTTCAAAGTTGTAATTTCTATTGTCGTGTGATTTGCTAAACAAATATGCCAGCCCCCATTTGGCCACCATTAAATCTCAATTAATTAAATTAAATTTTTCTCTTTCTTATTTTCAATTATACAATTTTCAATAAAATAATTTTACACGTAAATCGAAAACTTATCATTATTTTACAATCATTCATTTAAAAAAAACACTATTTCTCCATTATAATCAAAATTAATGGAGGCCAAACGGACTGCTGGTTCTATTATTTTTTCTTCAAGACTATAAAAGTAAGGATTAATACTTACCCTTTTCTGCATGAACTCAATTTCAGCAAACAGTAATTCATTCTGGAAAATTTCTCGAGCATTAGTCTCGTTAAATCAACAGTGAACTAAAGAAATTACGAAACAAAATTTAGAAAAACTTGATCACCTTTTTCGAATGAATTCTTCCAATGGCCTTCTCCACTTTAGTCTCTAAGTTCTTGAGTTCCTTGTACTTCAAAGCGCCAAGGTCCTCGCCAAGAATTTGTCTGCACATACATTCCAACTTGTAAAATGTCCGCAATAAATTAACTAATAGCATTTAATGATTAACTAATTAACCTGTTTGTATTCTGTATCTCTCGTATCTGTCTTCGCAGCTTGGTGGCTTCTTGCTGATAGAACTAAGAAATTCAAATTATAGTGTCAGAATGGTGCATTAAAATCGAAGTCGAAGAGTGCAATTTCTCATTGGAAGTAAGGTGGTTGTGTCCCTTCCAAAGTAAAAATTCTTTCATTAATATACTTGCGCATGATAATACAAAGAACAATATACGTTAGTCATAGTTTACTACTTAAAATGCTTAAATAGTATAGTTTTTACCTGCGTGTTAGCCACAGAAACAGATCCTGGATTCGAGGAATCGACACAATCTTTCTTGTATCTCTCAATAGTTGCCCTAACACTGCATTTACATATGATCGCATCAATTTCCGCGTGCAAATATGAAGCTAAAGATGTGAAATGTAAACAAATTCTTCCTTTAATTTCATTTTCTGCATTAATTTGAAATAAAAGAAGAAAAAAAATATATGAAAATTCACAAGAAACTTTCTTGTACTTCTCTACCAGATCTGTTTCAAACGATGTTGAATTTCATAAGTACATCAAAAATAATCTAGCTAGTTGACCGGAGACTTATATGTAGCATTGTGTCAACTGAAAAGAATGACCATCGTATGAAAATATGTCAAGAAACGCATTGTATAATTCAAAGAACATGTATAGCTAGTTCAATTTTTAAACCGAGCCAGTTTAAAAGCATATTTGGTTTGGATTAAAATCTGATTTTAATCTAAAGTTAAAGTCAAACAATCAACATTAATCACATCTTTTATGATCCCACAACTTTTCAACTATACATTTCAAAAACTTCTATCACAATTTATTAAAAATCTAATTTTTATCCCCACCAAACATCCCACTAACAATTTCTTGTA